TTAATTTATAATCAAAATCCTTTTATCGATTTAACGTTCATCTCATGCGATATAGAGGACTTGACTTCAACAAAGAGGTTTATAATTTCAAAAAGCAAACAACTTATTGACGTGGTCCAGCGGCTCCCGGGCGAGCAGCGGCGGCGCGCTGTCCGAAGCGTGGTGGTGGGTTACGGTCTCTTCTGGCCTCACGGGATCTGTTTCTGACGACCTTGCTGTGGATGGCGCAAGCGATGCAGTAGTGGAGCTTGTGGTAGAGCTTTGGAAGAGCGTAGGCTGAAAAAGACATTATATAAAGAACATTGTTATTTTGATAACTCAGCAAACTGGGACGGCGGATCGGCGGAGAAATTTGGATTTTGAATACCCGACAGACACCTTTCTTGTCCGAGATCTAACAGGTATCTGCCGTTTTTCCAAACCCCATTGTCACTGCTGATCCTCCGCCACAATCTTCTGAGATACTTGTCTAACTCACAGGTGTAAGCGGAAGCATCTCCGATATCTCTAACAGCGGCGGCCTCGACGATGTTTCTGACCACGAACTTCTTGATGGACTTATCCTTTGGGCAGCAGCGTCCGCAGTTGGTGCAACGGATGAATCCGACGTGTCCGCGGTTCTTCTTGTTTCTTCCGTGGTTGCGTCTCTTGAACGTCATTGTACCCTACAAACTTGAGCTTGATGAATGTGAAATTAGATCAAAAAAGACTTGGAAAGACAAAGAATTAAAAATTTGAAACAAAATTCTAAAATTATGGACCAGAAACGTTTTTTCTTGCTGACAGATCGAGATGAGACCTATAAAAATCGATTCAGAGCCCTCGATTCTACTTATTTTGCTCGAAAAATCAAAATTTTCGACAAAAATTCATGAAAAAATCGAAAAATTCGTTTAGGCCAGTAAAAAAGTAGTGGAAATCAAGGAGAAACGCATTGAAAGCGCCGCCGACTACGGTACCTGCACATCTAACTCGACGCGCCTTTAAACTCGGCCATGGCCGCGGCGAGGAGTTTTCTCTTCCATTTGCAAAAATTGGCGAATTTCCGGGCGATTTTTGGGGTAAAATTGCTGAAAATGATTCTTTTTCGTCGAATTTTTGAGGAAAATTGTTGAAAACTCGAATTCAGGAAGGTTTGAAAGAGTAAAAAATACCAAAAATTCAGGGAAAATTCATGAAAATCGGGGAAAAAAGACTAGAAATTGGTTTTTTTCAAAAATTGTGAAAAAATGTTTGGAAAACAGTTATTTTTCCAGAGTTGTAGCTTGAAAATCGAAAGTGGAAGATTTCAGGTGGAGAAATTGAGATTTCTCCTCAAAATGGGCGGTCTCTCTTCCGGTTTCCATGGAAACCAGGAAGAGGAATATTGATTTTTGGGCTCTTGCTAAAGCTTTCACTTCAAATTTTTAAAAAAATGTTCACTCGAGTCGACACTTTAACTAAATATTATCAATGTTTATTGGGTCATTTTGCTATGGCAACAATTGTAATTTTCGATCAGGTAACTGTTTTCTCTAATTTTCACATCTCCCTATATGTTTTCAGACCGCCCATCTCGAAGCCAGCATTATCGGGGGTATTCCAGTCGCCGAAGAAGCTAGAATTGGCTTCACTGTGTGTCTCGTGCTCACAATGCTCGGAATTATCATTGAATTCGTGTCAATCGTCCTTGAGATGCCGTCAGTGGTCCGCTCCCTCTTCGCCACGTCATCTCACACCATCGCCACGTGTCTTTTTCTTCTCTTCATTTACGATGCTCACCCAGTTTCTCATTTTTGGATTCTTCTAGTTTTACTTTCAGCACCTTCCTTCTTTCTTGCCTTGTTGAGTTTGTTCAGAATTGTTGGTCACAGGGGAAAACAGGGATAATAAATTCATTATTTTCTTAAATTGAAGCCTCTGACTGTTGTGACTGACAATCAAGGGGAAAAATCTGTTGAATATGGATATTTGAATGATTGGAGGGGGATGCATAAAAGGGACGAGACCATGGGGAGCAAGGAACTAAAGTTGGGAGGGGGGAGTTTACAAACGGATGAAGAGAAAAAAAACTAATAAAACTCGATCACAGACCTTCTTTTTGCCAAAAAAAAAGAAACAGAAATTCTAATTATGTGTGAGGGTCAATTATTCAAAAATTTTGAAAAAAAAACGGAAGAAAAAAAAGTAGTAGGAAAAAGGAACCAGAGAGGGGGGAGCCAAGTTTGAAATCCTAAAATAGTGGAGTTATTGCTGTTGACACTGTACACCGCCTCCTGGTCCGTGTCCGTGTCCTCCGAATCCGTGTCCTTCAAACTCCTCCCGATCGAACTGTCTGCGCGATGCTCGTGGATCCAGCTCGGTGAGCTCGACAACGTCGGCATCCTCGTCTATGATCTCTTCTCCTGGAAATAACAAAATCAGCAATATTTATTTTGTATTGCAAAATTCAAATAATCGTAAAATACTCACTCTTTCCTGGCAACAAATCTGCCAACTTTTTCGCTGCATCTGGATTAATCTTATCTGGGAACTTGACATCAAACTGCACCAAAAGATCTCCTCTATCACTCGGTGCCCTGCGCATCGGCATTCCTTCGTTATGAATCACTTTAACGTCTCCATGAGCAATCACCTCTCCAGGAAGAACACGATAGAAGATGCTGCGTCCATCGAGGGTGGTAATAGTGCGAACGAATCCACAGAGGGCTTCAGAGAGCTCAATGTTGTGTTGGATGATGAGGTTATCTCCTTTTCGTACGAATCTCTCGTGCTCCACCTCGTCTAGAACCACTACAAAGTCTCCTGGCTTTGAGATTCCTGCAACTTCGTCTCCTTTTCCTTCGAACACGAATTTCTCTCCATCACGGGATCCTGGAGCGATGGCGACCTCGATGATTTCCTCTTCTTTGCACTGTTTCTTTCCGAAGCACTTCTTACAACGATCCTTATGATCAAAATAGGATCCTTCTCCGTTACAACTGTCACAATGGGATTGCATCTGTTGGACCATTGGTCCCATTCTGATCATACGAATCTTGATTCCACGTCCTTGGCAATCGGAGCAGCTCTTGGCGGTTCCTTCGGTTCCACCACGTCCCTCGCACTGCTTGCAATTGGCAGTTCTAGAGATTTTGAGCTTCTTCGTGCATCCTTTGTACATGACATCCAGGGTGACTCTCAAATTGTGAACAGTAGGTTTGACTCGTCGTTCGCCGCGTGCACCACGTCCTCCGCCTCCGAAGAACATGTCGAAGACGTCGAATGGATTGTGGAAGCCTTCTCCGCCACCACCGCCGCCTTGAAGAGCTTCCTCACCGCCTTGGTCGTAGATTTGACGCTTCTTCTCGTCTGACAACACCTCGTAAGCCTGGAAAATAGGTTTTTGGTTTAGAATAAAGGGATTTTGATGCTTTTTTTTGAGCGTTACCTGTGAGATTTGCTTGAATTGCTCGGCACCATCTGGATTCTTGTCTGGATGGAATTTCAGCGCCAATTTTCGGTAGGCCTTCTTCAACTCGCTGTCCGATGCGTCTGGTTTCACACCGAGAACATCGTAGTATCCGGTCTCCTTCACCATTTTTTTGGATTTGGATCTAGAAAAAATATATAAATTTCACCAAAAACAAAGTTGCTTATAAAGACAGTTTGTAGTAAATAAGACAATGCAAAATTGAATTCGACTCCGAAATCAGTCAGAAAACTGAGGAAAACGGTAAAAAAAGCAAGTGAGTATAAGGACAATTTTTCGAAAAAAGTTTCTCCAGCCAAAAAGCTGCCTATAAATACAATTTTATCAACGGAAATGACAATTTAGAGTAAATAAGACATTGAGAAATCGTTTTCGACACTAAAATCACTCGAAAAACTGAGAAAAACGGTGAAAAAGCGGGCGAGAATGGGACGAAATGCGCACAAATTCCATAGATTTTTCCTGAATGTTCTAGACGCAAGTGTGCGGTAGAGCGCGCATGCTATACGAGGCCGTGGAAATCGATCTACACTTTGAGTGTACTTTTGAACCGCAAAACAAAAGAAAAGTGTCTAATTTGGGGGAAAAATCAAAAAGGGCGGGGGTACGACGAATTCGAACGTTTTCAAATTCGAACAGACCTAAAATCGAACTGATTCAATTCAGAACAGTCCTTTTTTCGCACACGTACCAGAACAGAACGCGGACAGAATCGAACTGTTACAAGTTCGAACTGGTAAGGAGTCGAACTGTCCCAAATTGGAACGCTGCTTGCAACAGAGCGCGCATGAAAGCACACACAAAATCGTACCCCCAAAAAGGCCAGAGTTATAACTTTCAAAAAAAAGGAATTGGGAAAAAAAACATCTAAATTTCGGTGAAATTCCGCCAAGGAAACTGTGAAAATAGTGATATAATTTTAGGCAAAATTTTCAATTTGATTTATTATGCTTGTCTGAGAAAAAAAAGGTTAGAGAGTAAGTTTTCTTGCGAAAAACTATCTAAAGTTCCAGAAATCCAACTATATCCCCTTTGCAATTTGAAAATCCGCGCAAAATTCACTGCAGCTGGCCTAGAAAACCCCCGTGCGGCGCCAAGGCCAATTTCTCTTCCATCTCCGAAAATTGAATTTTTTCAAGTTTTCCAGTGCTTTTCAGTAGTTTTCTAGCAATGGAACTGCACATTTGGCCATCCGACTTTGGTCTACCCACAATTGACGTCTCCTCCTTGCAGTTTTTGGTGAGAAAAACCTATTTTATCGCGAAAAACCCCCAAAAAATCGAAAAAACGTTCAGGCCTGCTCAAAAATGTGCGCAAGCCCTGTTCGAGTGGTCCAGTCGGCTCGCCCATGGAGAAGTCCCAATGGAGAGCTCCCAATGGTCGCGCAAATCGATGGAAACGCAAAACCAGTGACGGATTTTGAAAAATTCGTAGATATTCTCAAAAAGTGTGGTCAGGACGTTGTAATCGATGCGGATCTAACAACCATCGAGCGAGCTCAACTGGACGCATTCTCCTGTTACCTCCATCATAATTTGTATCCAGCAGTGCTCCACACCTTCTGGGCAGACGATTTAAACTATAATACAGTGACGCAATACTGGTATGCCTCCCATTTGCACTTCCCATACAATTTGTATTACCTGGAGAAGCGAAAGAAGAAGGCTTTGAGAATGTTAGGGGGTAAAAATGATACTGAAATTCTAAAGGACGCATTTATGGCCTTGAATACGTTATCAACGAAGCTGGGAGACAATAAATTCTTCTGTGGAAACAAACCTACTTCGCTAGATGCCCTTGTATTTGGATACCTGGCTCCTCTTCTTCGTGTACCTCTTCCAAATGATCGTCTTCAAGTTCAGCTGTCCGCTTGTCCAAATTTAGTGAGTTTTTGTACAAAAATTTCACATTAGTTGGCTATTTTTGGCTTTGGAAATGCTGAAAATCGTATTTTTTTGACTCTAAAAATGTCAGAAATAGTCAATTTCGACTCTGAAAATGCTAAAAATCCATATTTTTGAATGAAAAAATGCCGAACGCCAAAAAAAACCGCATCGAAACAGCGAAGTGGGATTAGGTAATTAGGCAAAAATGGCTCCGCGACGTTTCGCAAGTGTGACGTTTCGCAAGTACGACGTTTCGAAAGTAACAGCTTTGCACTTTTATGCATGGAAGAAAAAGCAAAAACTTGTATTTGAGTATTTAAATGGTTTTTCGAATAGAGTTTTGTATATTTGAAGCTTTCAAAGCATTAATTGCCGTACTTTCGAAACGTCACACTTGCGAAACGTCGTCTTTCGAAACGTCGCGGA